TTGCATTCCACATACGCTGTCATCCTTAAGTCTTTTTTAGGTTCAGGCCTGAGGTTATACATTGAACAGTTTAGATAGGAACAGGAGAAAGCAAGTCTAGCCACTTAGGCAGATGGAGATTTACAGAGCAAAACTATCTTTTAGATTATGCATTATGATCAAAATAAAAATATAATATGATTTAAAGATATATAGATCTTAATATATGATCTAAAAGATACATTTAAGAGATATCTTGATGCCACAATCCTCACACACACAAAGAACATAGAACACAAATTTTTAAAAAAAATGTTATGGGAAAGTCACCTCTCCACATTGTGATTGTTCTTAAATCAACAGCTATTCTGAGCCATTCTAACCTCAGAATAAGCCTTCTTTTGCCTCCAAGCAAGCTGGCTCAGAGAAAGGCCACAGGAGCTTCTTTGATGGATAGCCATGACTGATGTTTATCTCAAGTCTGTGATTTCTGTACAGAATTTTATTTTTTTCAAGTTTTATTTTATGTACGTGGGTGTTTGCCCACAGGTGTCTGTGCAGTGCCTGCAGAGGCCAGGTGAGTGAATCAGATCCCTTGGAACTGGAGCTACAGGAGATGGTTAGCAACCATGGTTTCTGGCAATGTAACCCGTGTCCTCTGCAACAGCACCCAGTGTTCTTAATCGCTAAGCTATCTCAATCTTTAAATGAAAAGCTAAGCTGCATTTTCATTTAAAATTTATTTTTATACATTTTAATCAAAACACATTGTATCACTTTCCTCCTTCCTTGTCCCCTCCTTCTGTTCCCAAATTTTCCCCTTCTAATTCCTTCCTTGTGAAGTCTGTGTGAATAAGTGGATAAAACCTGCTGGGTCCATTTCTGTTGGTTTTGTGTTATGGTTTCAGAATTGAACATGCTGTTTCAGATACACAAATAGGGATTTTATCCCTGCCTGAGGCTAATTCACCCAACTGTGGAATCTAATTCTTTATTGAGCAACATGAATCTGACCCTTAAGTGATCTAGGTTGACTTGGACAGAAAACATTATCAAGAATAGAAAACTTGGATTGGTACATACCTCAGCTAACATTTGCTGGTGCCACAGCCCTGAAGTTCTAGGGCAGCAGGAATGACTATGGACACTGTCCTGAGCAAATCACAGGCTCCCTAGGTTCAATGCGCCTCCCACCATACCCTACTGACCATTCTCATTTTGGATAACTTTGAAATCCTGACATTCCTACCTCTACTTTCTAAGTATCATGGCTACACGTCTGTGCCAGCATGCTTGGCTTAGTTGGTTTCAACTTCATTTAATCAGTCATTAGAATGATGGGATGAGTAAGATGAGCAGTTACACTTAATTATATTAAAATTCCACCGATCTCCGTGAGCCTGGGTTTCAACCATCTGTAGAATAAAGACAGTACTGTGCTCTAGTCCCTTGATGAATTATAATACAAAGATAAAGAAAAACAATATTGCTCATAGTTGGAAGACAGTAGACTTTAAGACAGGAAGGCTGCATTTGATGGGAGTCTTCTTCTGTTACTGGAGTTAGGACCATAGCCTGTGACTTTGCTACCCCAACAAGTCAGGCTCAGTCACTCACTCTTATTAAACCAATGAAAAAAACCAAATTACATTAGTACATTACCCTTAGTGGTGGTACATATCTTTAATCCTAACGCTTGGGAGGCAGAGGCATATGGATCTCTGTAAATTCAAGGCCAGCCTGGACTACAGAGCTAGTTCTAGGACAGCCAAGGCTACACACACACACACACACACACACACAAAAGAAAAACCTTTCTTGAAAAGCCAAAAAAAAAAAAGTTAGTTATCTGTGATGTACCCATCTATAATTCAGGTACACTGGAGACAAGGTGGGCAAATCTTTCTGATGTCTAGAAGAGCCTAGTCTATATAGTGAGTTCCAGGCCACCCAGAGTTTCATAGTGTGGAGAAAGATACCCTAATGTGGGAGTCCCTTCTGTGTGCTGTAATTACCATTAATAAATAAAGAAACTGCCTTGGTCTGTTGATAGGGCAGAACTTAGGTAGGCAGGGAAAACTGAACTGAATGCTGGGAGGAAGAAGGGCAGAGTCAGAGAGATGCCATGGAGCCACCGGAGACAGACGCTGGGAATTTTACCCAGTGAATCACAGCCACGTGGCCATACACAGATTAATAGAAATGGGTTAAATTAATATGTAAGAGTCAGCCAATAAGAAGCCAGAGCTAATGGGCCAAGCAGTGATTTAATTAATACAGTTTTTGTGTGGTTATTTCAGATCTAAGCTAGCCAGGAGGCTGGGAACCAATCAAGCGACCTCCCCACAACACTGATTGTCAGAAATCGGCCTATACCTATAGCTGTGAAGGAAAGTTATCCTGTGATGTGGGATTCCCCTCTGTAGGCTGCGAACATGTTTTATTACCATTGGTTAATAAAGAAATTGCTTTGTCCTATAGCAGGGCAGAATACAGTCAGGCTGGAAGAGATATAGAGAGAGTAGGTGGAGTAAAAGAGATACAATGTAGTTGTTGAAGCAGAAAGGTGCCAAGAACAGAACCTTACTGATAAGCCACAGCCTTGTGGTGAGATTAATAGAAATGGGTTAATTTAAGATGTAAAAATGAGTTAATAAGAATCTTGAGCTAACAGGCCAAACAGTGTTGTAATTAATATATTTTGTGTGACTGTTTGGGTCTAGATGGCTCCGGAAACTGCCTGAGCAGTCTCCAACTACAATCTTGGATACCTACAGCTGACAGGAAAGCTACCCAGACTGTTATTAAGTCAGGCTATACCTGAAACTGTGGAGAAAAGGTACCCTGAGTACTTATAGCTCTAAAGAGAAAGGTACCCTCACTATCATGTCAGGACATACCTACAGCTGTGAAGGAAAGTATACTGGACAACTACAGCTATGAGGAGAAAGGAATCCTGACTGTTGAGAAGTCTGTCTAGAACTGAAGCTGTGGAGGGAAGGTACCCTGACTGTTAGAAGTCAGGCCATACCTACAGCCAAGAAGGGAAAGTGTACTGGATACCCACAGCTATCAAGAGAAAAGGTATCCTTGTGGAGGTCCAAAACCTTGAACCTATTTCCACCTTTCCTGGAGGTCAGAGTTTGAGGTTGCTCAAAGTTGTTAACAGGTATGGCTACACACCCTGACCTAAGGTGTGGATGTTTTGCCTTTTGGACTTTAAAAGGGCCCATACAGATATGCCTACTCCCCCTTGAGCAAAGGTGAGAGAATTCAAACATCCTTCTGCTCTTTCATTTGAATTAAGAGATTTGACCTAGGAAATCACTGCCTTTAGGATTCACTGCCTGAATAACAGAATGTTTTCTCAATAATTAAGGACTTGACGGCTCAAAGTATTGAAGCAAGTAACTGTTCTAGCTGTCCTTTGCATCATGTTAAAGCAGCCTTTTGTCTTCTCCCCCTGCTGTATTGGGGTAGAAATGTATATGGAAAATTAAATGCAGGCAGATTTACAGTATTCACTGGAACTCCCTCCCGGTACTATCTTATGCTTCTGTTTTATTATTTTCACTTTGTCTTCATCCTCTTATTTTTCTAATCCCTATGCCCCTACCCAGGTAAGTGGTATACTTGTCAAAGATGGTCCCTGACATATACTGACTATTGGGAAGTCCGGCTATACCCGAGGCTGTGTTCCAGTGGGAGATGTTCTCCCTGCAGGATGTAGCAATGGCTGCTCCTCTCCAAGAGAGCCATCACAGCTAGGACCTGCTTCACTCTGCTAAGAGAGCTTCAAAGCAGAGACGTCTATTGCTGTTCTGTTCCACTTCCCTAAGGGAGTTTCCTAGCAGAGGTGTCCAATGCTTCTCTGTTCCACCCCACTAGGGAGTTTCCTAACAGAGATGTTAATTTTTTTTCTCAGCTTCAGCCCAAATTGTTACTTCTCTGCTTCACTGGAGTTGATGGGAAACTTTTGCAGAAATGTTGCAGTCTCTGGTGAAGAGTTGCTACTTCTGCTCTGCTCCTTTAAGGGAAATTTGCCAGCAGAGGTGACCAAAGCTTCTCTGTTCCAATCCACTACAGAGTTTCTTATCACTCCGGTGAAAGGTCTTCACCCAAAACTCATTCAAGAAAATCATTTGGAACGGAAGAATCCAGGAGAGGGGCTGCCTCTGCCAGGGCAGAAATGGGCAGATGCCAACTGAACAGGTACAGAACTTATATAGGAATTCTTAGGGGCAGAGTTTTCCCAGGGAGAAGAGTCTCAGGGTGGGAATTAGTTAGATGTCAATCCCTGATTTTGAACAATGCAGAGATAGGCTGGATTTCATGCTCAGGGGTTGGTAGAGCTCAAGTTTAGGGATTAGCTGGTTTTGTGCTCAGTCAGTCAAGGGTAGAGTATGTTTCTTTAGTTTCAGGGCCAAACTGTGTTCTTTCACTGGCCCCTTATAACCTTTTGAGTCTGGTTTCAGGGTCAGGCGTTTCTTTCATTGGCTCTGGATTCAGGAATAAAGTGTGTTTCTTTATCTTGGTTTTAGAGTCAGGATGTATTTCTCTGGCTCCAGTTTCAGAGTCAAAAATTATGTATTTCACTGGCTCTGGTTTCAGGGTCAGGATGTGTTTCTTTGGCTGGCCCATTTACCCTACACATAGAGCTTCATAAATTCATTTTACCATGAGTTTGTAAGTATAAACAGTATAAAAAGGACATCATAATGCTTGAAAAGATTGTTAACACTGTCAAATTTATTTCTACAGAAGAAATAGTCTTGTGTTGTAGGCGGAGGACTCTTGTTCATTCCTGGCTGCCCAGAACCGAAATAATCACACAGAAACTATACTAATTAAAACACTGCTTAGCCTTAGCTCAGGATTCTTATTAACTAACTCTGACATCTTAAATTAACCCATCCCTATTATTTTGTATTTTACCACAAGACTTGTGATTTACCAGTAAGGTTCCAGGGCATCTGTCTCCTTCAGCAGATACATGGAGTCTGACTTCACTTTCTTTTCTCCTCTATCTCTGCTTGGAATTCCTGCCTTGCTCTATTCTGCCCTGCCAGAGACCCAAAGCAGCTTCTTTATTAAACAAGGTAACAAAATACATTCACAGAATACAGAGGGGAATCCCAAATCATTGTGTAGCTGATTATAAGTGTTTTGGCTAAAAATCTTACCAAATACTTTATAATAAGAAGTCCTCAGTATCTTTTTCAGGTTGTCAATGTCTATTGCAATATGCAAAGATTTTAACAGATTGTTGCAACAAAAAGTTTTACTCTTATATAAAGTACAAAACTTTATCACACTGGCTACATTTATAGGGTTTCTCTGCAGTATGAATTTTTTCTCATGATTTAGATTATTCATATATGCAAAGGTTTTACCACACTGATTACATTCATAGAGTTTATCTCCAGTGTGTGATCTTTTATGCATTTGAAGAGTACTGTGAAGTGAAAAGGCTTTACCACACTCATTACATTCATAGGGTTTCTCTCCAGCATGTGTTAGTTCATGTCTTTGAAGATGACTATGATAAACAAAGGCTTTACCACACTAATTACATTCATAATGTTTCTTTCTAGTATGGGTTCTTTCATGCCTTTGTAGATGACTATGAAGTGCAAAGGCTTTACCACACTGATTACATTTATAGGGTTTCTCTCCAGTATGGCTTCTTTCATGAATTTGTAGATAACTGTGATAAACAAAGGCTTTACCACACTGATTACATTTATAGGGCTTCTCTCCAGTATGGTTTCTTTCATGCATTTTTAGAGAACTGTGCTGTGCAAAGGCTTTACCACACTGATTACACTCATATGGTTTCTCTCCAGTATGGTTTCTTTCATGCCTTTGTAGATTACTATGAAGTGCAAAGGCTTTACCACACTGATTACATTTATAGGGTTTCTCTCCAGTATGGCTTCTTTCATGAATTTGTAGATAACTGTGATAAACAAAGGCTTTACCACACTGATTACATTTATAGGGTTTCTCTCCAGTATGGTTTCTTTCATGCATTTTTAGAGAACTGTGATAAGCAAAGGCTTTACCACACTGATTACACTCATATGGTTTCTCTCCAGTATGGCTTCTTTCATGAATTTGTAGATAACTGTGCTGTGCAAAGGCTTTACCACACTGATTACATTTATAGGGTTTCTCTCCAGTATGGCTTCTTTCATGAATTTGTAGATAACTGTGCTGTGCAAAGCCTTTACCACACTGATTACATTTATAGGGTTTCTCTCCAGTATGGCTTCTTTCATGCATTTGTAGATAGCTCTGAAAAACAAAGGCTTTACCACACTGATTACATTTATAGGGTTTCTCTCCAGTATGGCTTCTTTCATGAATTTGTAGATAACTGTGCTGTGCAAAGGCTTTACCACACTGATTACATTTATAGGGTTTCTCTCCAGTATGGCTTCTTTCATGCATTTGTAGATAGCTCTGAAAAACAAAGGCTTTACCACACTGATTACATTTATAGGGTTTCTCTCCAGTATGGCTTCTTTCATGAATTTGTAGATAACTGTGCTGTGCAAAGGCTTTACCACACTGATTACATTTATAGGGTTTCTCTCCAGTATGGCTTCTTTCATGACTTTGAAGATTAATGTGTTGTGCATAGGCCTTACCACACTGATTACATACATAGGGTTTCTCTCCAGTATGTAGTCTTTGATGCCTTTGAAGATTACTGTGTTGAGCAAAAGTTTTACAACATTGATTACATTCATAGGGCTTCTCTCCAGTATGGCTTTTTTCATGACTTTGTAGAAAACTATGACGTGCAAAGGCTTTACCACACTGATTACATTTATAGGGTTTCTCTCCAGTATGGCTTCTTTCATGCCTTTGTAGATGACTATGACGTGCAAAGGCTTTACCACACTGATTACATTCATAGGGCTTCTCTCCAGTATGGGTTCTTTCATGACGTTGAAGATTACTTTGCTGTGCAAAGGCTTTACCACACTGATTACATTCATAGGGTTTCTCTCCAGTATGGCTTCTTTCATGAATTTGTAGATAACTCTGATAAACAAAGGCTTTACCACACTGATTACATTCATAGGGTTTCTCTCCAGTGTAAGTTCTTTTATGCATTAGAAGATGACTGTGATGTGAAAAGGCTTTACCACACTCATTTTCTTCATAGGGTTTTAATCTAGCATCTGTTTTTTCATCACTGTGAAGATGACTGTCATTTGCAAAGGCTTTAACACATTGAGTATATACAGAAGTTTTCTCTCTAGTTTGACTTTTTTCATGCCTACAATGATAATGGTACATGTGAAAGCATTACTACATTTAATACATTGTTGACTATTTTATCTGTATAAATTAATTTTACAATTTAGTACTATTTTAAAGAGGAATTATATGTTAAGGAATTATATGTTTATAATCTTGTTTTTCCCCTTCATTAAGGCTTGCTTTTCATCTTTGAAGAGAACTGATAACAGTCTTTGTTACATGGTTCACATTTACAGAATCTTTTTCTCTGCACAAGAATTTTCATGTATTTGAAGAGAACTGAAAAAACTCAGAGCTTTACCACTCTTATTGCATTCATAAAGTTTCCTATACTGTGAGTGATACTACATTTGCTAAGTGAACCAGGGCAAACAGAAATATTTACACAGTCCTAGTACTCATGGTGCTTTTCTGAAATGTGAGTTTGTTGATATCTTAACAAGAAGACTAGAAAACCAATTACTTTTATACTTGTACATCAAATTCAACAAGTATACTCAACATGGGGACTGCTACATATCTTCTATTTGTTCTGAGGGAGAGGTATGTTATATCTTTTCACATCCCTATGCTCATGTGGCTTATATACAGAGTAGCATAAGATATACCTAGTAAAGGAAGAATAACAAATATAAGGTTTCCACATAGAGTTCACACAGTTTGACTTTCTGTCCTCATAGATTTGTGGTATCTGGATTAAGGCTTCTCCACAACAGTTGCCCCTTGATTCGTGACTCTAACTGCCTCCTCACTAAACTGAACAAGTATATAGGTTAAACGACCCTTTCTATAGACTAATAGTGTATTAGAGAGTTTTAGATATACTTATCATCTTTTAACATGTATATCTTTTATAATATGAATAATATAAAATAAATGGATTGACAATTTTACAGTATAGCTCTCATTGTATTATGATTCAAATGGTAATATAGGTTAAAACATTGTTTCCTTGACTTCTTTCTTAAAAGAATGACTTGCAAATGCAGCCTACCTATCTGAAATTAAGGTATATAACTTTGTGAGAATTTAATAATCATCAATGTACTTTATTATTTACACTGTTGTTTTTGTTTAAAACATATAGGATACATTACAAATTCTTCAGAGGTACATTTGTATCAGCTTATCCATGAAAATTACCTTTCATGTCTTCTAGAACTTTGACAAAGTTCTTCAATATTATGGTCTTCCCAACTGTATCCTAAAATATAGTGCCAGAAAAATGTATGTTATATATTAAAACTTGTAAAAAATTTAGTTACCACTTGAAGCAAACCTTAAAACCATGCCTGACTTATTTACCCATTCTTCTTTCTCAATCATATTACAAAAGAGCACCATTAACCAATGAACAGTTGTCCCCTTATTTTAAACCTGAAAGATAGTTCAGTCTTACCTATAGTAGTGAGGTTTCTGTAGGTCTCCAGCATTACATCTTTGTAGAGACTCTTCTGGGAAGGATCCAGCAAAGCCCATTCTTCCCAGGTGAAGTCGACATGTACATCATCATAGGTCACTGCATTCTAAAATATCCCATATATGTGTACAACAGAAAGCATGAGTTTTACAACACTGTAAATATATACTTCTTTGACAGTATAGTCATATAATTCTAGTGCTCCTCATACTTATTCCATGACATAGACATCATAATTTAATCACCAAGTCACTTTAGAAATAAACTGAGTAGGAGGTTCACCTCTGTCATTTCTGAACCCTTTGAATGGGATATCACCTTGCAAGAGAAATGCCTACTAACCAACAATGAAAGATACATAAACAGATCAAGAGTACAGAGTACAGATAAGAGTAATTGTATGAATGATTAATCCCTAACTACAAAAAAATGAGATGAAAAAACTGGAAAAAACTGGATGCACTGAATCATGCCTCTAATCCTTGCACTCAGAAGGCAGAGGCAGGTATATCTATCTGCCTCTAAGTTGAATATCAGCCTAGTCCATGCAATCACTTCTAGGAAAGCCAGAAATACATATTAAATACCTGTTTCAGATGAAAAAATAATCAAACAAACATAAAAGACAGAAATAACTTATAGGTTTGCGCTGACGTTTCAACAAAGCGTTATGCATTCACTTCAACTCTTTATTCATCTACCAGAAACCTGAAGTGCCCCAATTTAAACTGCAACATAAATAAGATTTTACTAAAGGCACTGTGTGTTTAAAAAGTTACAAATGGACAAATGAAAACAATAGCAATTAATATGCTCATTACAAATAATCAACACAGAGCAGGAAAGATGGCTCAAGAGAAAAGAGTCCTCCTAGTCTTGCATACAGGTGGGCTCAAGGACTTACATGGGGCATCATAACTATCCATTATTCCAAGTTCAGGGTTTCTAGTACCATCTTTTGATCAATGTAAGGACCAGGTACTCACATGGTGCATATCCATGCATACAGGTAAAATACTCTTTTTAAAATAAAAATTCAAAACAAACAAAAACAGGCAGGAAGAAGGTTGTGTACCTACAATCCAATGACTCAGAAGGAACAGGCAATATTAATTTCATGAACACATGCCATCCTGGGAAACACAATGAGATACCCTCTGTCAAATTTTGAAATCCAAGATATAGGTGAAGCTCAGTACAACAACATATGTTTGATAGGAACAAAACCATCATACAACAATTTAAAAACAAAAAAGCCAAGAATACTGACTCACCTTTAATCCCAGCACTTGGAAATCAGAGTCAGAGGATCTCTGAGTTTAAAGCTAGCCTGATATATAGAGCTACTTTCAGGACAGCTACGTCTACACAGACAAATCTTGTCTTCAAAAATAAACAAACAAAAATGAAAACAGTAGGCTACCAAACCACCTTAGCACCAAATAGCAGTTAATTCTACTGAATCTTATGTGATTTAGTGATAGAGTTTATGATGGTGTGTGGAATGGAGGCTTAAAATAAATCTAACACTACCTCAGAATTGAGAAATAGATATTTATTTAGGGGTAAACTCACAAATCAGAATTCTCTGCTTGAACGGAGAACAGAGATCGGATGCAGCAACCCAGCAATCTGAAAGAGCAGCCAGGGAAGTAAAGAAAAAAAGGGGCAGATGCAGGCTCTGCATCCGCATTTATAGTATAAGAGGCCACGTCCCAGTAGGCGGGTAATCACAAGCTGTAAGATTTCTTACAGCAATGGTGGGGAAGTCATAACAGCAAAAGAAGAAAGCTGCCTGATTAGTTTCAACCACAACACAGTAGGCACAAAGAGCAGGAAATGGGTTGAGACTATAGAAATGCTTATTGTGGTTTTCCCCTCTGTATGCTGTGATTATGATTGGTTAATGAAGGAACTGCTTTGGGACTATAGCAGAGCTATAGGACAGGACTTGGGTAGGTGGGAAAAACTAAACTGAATGCTGGGAGGAAGAAGGCGGAATCAGAGAAGTCATGTAGCCCCACCAGAGACAGAAGCTGGAAACTTTACATGGGAAGCCACAGCCACATGGCAATACACAGAATAATAAAAATGGATTAAATTAATATGTAAGAGTTAGCCAATAAGAAGCCAGAGCTAATGGGCTAAGCAGTGATTTAATTAATACAGTTTCTGTGTGATTATTTTGGGGCTGAACAGCTGGGAACTAACAAGTGGCTTCCCACAACAAACTGGTGCCCATGTGGCCAACTAAAGTTCACTTAAAATCTTAGAGAGATTGGAAAGGAATTCTAGACACTAAAAAATGAAGTTTAGTCGCATTTATGTCCCCAAATGGGCTTTGCTTACTGGTGACATACTGCGGCTCCCTTAAGAGAGGTTTTCCTGATTTAGAGGTAGCAGAAAAATGCTGCACCATTTTGAAATGCCGGCTTTCTGGGTGGTGCTGCCAGCACAAACTCTGACTCTTTCTGGAGGATTGGCTATGGGGTCTGTGAACAGATTGCTAATGGCAACTTAGACCCCCTGTGTGTCTGAAAATGGCGCAATGTACATGGCTCTCGGAGGCAACAAACATGCTTCTGCCATGTCAGACTGGGTGGAGCAAGCAGGCAGGCTGTATTTGCTCTACCAATGGCACAGCTTAAGTTCATAAGAAGTGCTTAGTGTTTTAAGAAGCACTCCTGAACAGTAAAGAATTACAGATACACAATAGGACAGATTCATGCATAAAAGACCTCTAAATGGGGCATAGTGTGTTTAAAAAATGTACATAGGCTTAGGAGACAGAAGAAAAAGAGTATAGAGAGTTATAAAAAGAAGTAAATGGTTTATAAAAAGATGAAACTAAGTCTTTAAAGAGACAGAGTACAGCATTAATTAAAGGAGTAAATATAATAAAATAAATATTAAAAAGTAATAGAATAAAACCAAATAAGCCACGTAAAATGGACTATATACAGAGTGACTGGATTATGTATATTATTGTGTTTTCTTTGAATTTTTTTACTATAAAGGAGCTAAGTAACCAATATATATACTTTAAAGGTATCATGTCTTTAGAATTTGGGTCTAAGGATTTGTTACTTTGGAAAAGAGGTTCTTCTTTTGTTTCCACAGAGGATGATAACCTGTGGAATCCTTCCAGACTAATGTGGTTTAATGAACTAAGACCACCCAAAAGGTTGCTGTGAACACCCCCCAAAAATTACTTTGCCAAATAAAAAGCAGAAATCAGTTTGGAGAGAACTATGCCCACATTCCCAAATACTGTTCATAAATGTTTGTTTACATTTAAAGGAGTGTATGCTATAGAGATTTGCATTGGTATGGATCTTGGTTTATTGATATGAATTTAAGGTCAATTTTATTATATGCATTTCTGCTCTTGATTAAGGTTTTGTATTTGTGCAGCTCATTTAAAAATGTAATGTATAATTAAAATATAGGTAAATAGTCATCTATAATAGTAATAGTCAAGCTTGTAGTCATGTTAGTTAGATTTTCTAGATGTACAGAAATGTATTTCAGAGAGATAGGGATTCTTCAAATCTTTCAGAGACTTTCAGAATATGGCATTTAAAATGTTTTAAGAGCCTAAGACTCTTCATGACAAAGAGACACATCTGCTCCTGGCGGCACCAATCTACTTCAAGAGGAAGATGGGCATTGAAGAGGCTCCTTACGGAGTTTGTTAGCCATTTGAGCAAGAAACTGTTCTTGCATGGACTGCTTGATGAACTGGACATGCAGGACCCACAAAGAAATGACTGCTGAACTTGGCTAAAGGTGAGATGTTTCTTTGGGGTTCCTTATTCATGAAAGAGTCTGCCAGACATTCTGCAGGACACAGAAGAAAGCAACTGATGGACTTTTCCATTGCAAGGCAGAACAGGTCTTCAAATTTCCTACTTCGTGAAAAAGTCTTCTGGATACTATGGGCCTGTGGGCTGAATATGGAAGCCCCAACATTACAGAACTTTGGGTGACTGTCCAGGCAGCAAGATGTCTCTGTCATTTCTAGAGTTTTGGAAGTTGCTTACAATGCATCTCCTGTTTACTTAGGTAATATTATATCCTTCTGAGGTCTTTGATGGAGTTGAAGAATTTATAGTTTTCCTTAGTTATAAAAAAGATAAAGTAGATGTAAATATTGTAACTGTAGTTCTTGCTTGATACCTGTTTTGTTATATGTAATTTTACTATGTTAAAATTAAAACCTTCCTTTTCATTTAAAGAAAAGGGGAGGTGATGTGGGATTCCCGCTTGTATGCTATGATTATCATTGCTTAATAAAGGAACTGCTTTGGGCCTACAGCAGAGCTATAGGAAAGGATTTAGGTAGGCAGGGAAAACTAAAGTGAATGGTGGGAGGAATAAGGTGGAGTCAGAGAGAAGTCATGTAACCCTGCCAGAGACGGATGTTGGGAACTTTACCCAGTAAGCCACAGCCACATAGCGGTACACATATTAATAGAAATGGGTTAAATTAAAATGTAAGAGTTAGCCAATAAGAAGCTAGAGCTAATGGGCCAAGCCATGATTTAATTAATAGAGTTTCTGTGTGATTATTTTGGGGCTGAGCAGCTGGAAACAAACAAGCGGCCCTTTTTACTACATCATATCACATCCCCAATGAGAGATTTCATCCAGAAAGGCTCCTCCTACTAGTGGTTTCACAAGCAATCAAATGAAATTTACCAAGAAGAGGCACGTGTTAAAACACATTTTATCTGGGAGGTTTTTCATTCAATCAATTACATTCTGACCTGTGTCACTATAGGCTCATGGTCATCCATGAAGAAAATTAATTTAGTCACTTCAATGATATTCATATTCTGCAATAGCCCCTATACTGTTCAAATGTTCAAAGTCTCTTCTGATGCTCAAGACAATCACTTGACAGTGACTTGTTGACAGAGGTTTCTGTCCCGCCAGGTCCCACAGTCATTCAGTCCCAAAGAAACACACAGAGGTCTACATTAATTATAAACTGGTTGGCCTATTAGCTCAGGCTTATTATTAACTAATTCTTACATCTTACATTAGTACATAAACCTTGTCTGTGTTAGCCACATGGCTTGGTACCTTTTATCAGTGAGGCAT